CTCTAAGCCCGAATCGCTGGCATTGAACCCCACCGTGGAAGTAGTGGAGTCCAGACTAATATCCTTGTTCAGATCCTCCCAGGTAATCTCATTGCGTCTGGGATTGGGATGGGCACTAAAGCAGTCGGCGAACATCAGGAATAAAACGTGAATGCTGATCCGAAACAGATGCATTTCGTGGAGGCTAACTATTTAATACAAAATTTCATTATGTAATTGGAAATACATATTTTATTTGCTCCTTAAAATTCAACTACGCATTCAAAGCCTAAAGCTTGTAATTCACATTTAATTCACTAACAAACAGAATTACGACATTAATTCTTTTATAGTCCATTCAATATGAATATTAAATCCCATTTACAGACTTAATAGCCTTTTTAACCCAAAAATCTGTCCAGATCTTCAAATTTTGCAAGCAACACTTCAGTTTTAAGGGTCACATATAAATTTGAAATTAATTCAAATGGCAGTAAGGGGTAATGAGGTGCGAGTAATCGTCCATTTAAGGCTTTAAAATGTTCCACTCTTTTGCAGTACTCTTTCAAATTTAAAGTTCTTTAAGCAGTCCAAACATTTAATGTACTTGAAGAGAAATTTTTAAAGTTTTTAGAAAGCAAACACTTTACACAAACACTTCACTTTATCCAATTGTAATACCGGAAGTCAAGAGGGGAAAGATGGCCCGAAGCGCGATAATCGAGTGAGCCAGTGGCCACAACTGTTGGTCCTTTTATATCCGCGAGGACTTCCGCTCGGCAAAACTCGGCCTGCAGCCCGAGTACTGGCAGCCAATGAGAGGCCTGCAAATCGACGGGCAAACTGCTTCGTCTGGACGGAAAGTGAATCTCTAGGTTAGGCGAGCAAGGCTTTATGGCCTAACTTGTTGCTCCTTGGCCAAATTTGAATGGTAATCGCTTGGAAACGACGTCGCGTGCCTCCAGCAATTAATGTGTCTCTTTGGTGGCACTCGTGTAGACTGCTTTAAGGCGATGCTGACTTAATTCGCCCGCTGTTTAGTGAACCCAAATCTGATGGTCCAAGGGAATAGCGTTTCAAAGAGGGCATTACAATTACAAATATCATTCAAACGTAACCATAAGTAAATATTTTACCTGCGTAGGAATCTATACCTATCATACCTACAATGCAATATACAGTATCCCTAAATTTAATGTAGTTAATGTAGTATTAAAGACATAAAATGCACGGATAGTTTTTTTTAATAATTTAACAATTACTGACCAGACTCTTAATCAAATATGTAATTTTATTTGCGATGAAGACCACCAACAGGACGTTTCACTCCAGCTGCTGCTTTTTTAACCTCATCAATTGCATGCATCATACGCTGCGGCTCTGTGAGAAACCAAATCCAAAGGACTACGCTATAGCGATACAGCTTATCCCTCTCCTAAAAATTCGAACAATATAAAAGTGTTGCATGCCCTGATTTTATACGTAAACACATTAGTAAACTTACAATGCGCCCCACGACATTTTCCAGGAAATCTTTTCGCAGGGATCGCACTGACTCATCCAGGCGATTTTGTTGCTGGGTGACATTGTATATGGTGCTTAAGTAGCGAACGTTCTCAAACATGGGCTGCTCAAGTGGGGAATCATGGACAAAAGGTCGCAAAGTCTGCTCCAAACGCTTGCTGAAAATTATTAATATTATTAAATATTATACAAAATATAAATATTATAAATATATATTCTAACTTACAGCTCCGCTAGTTGATCCTGGACAGCTGCACAGGATTTTCTGTTCAGCATGCTTTGAAAGGAGTAAGACAGCAGACGACCAAACTTTTCGTATTCGAATAAGCACGCCTTGGCCTCAGTAGCCTTAATGGTTTGTCCCAAATGGGCAGACAACAGATTGGCAATCTCTTGCACAAACTGTGCGCAAATGCCCTGGTGGCTGGCGTTTATGGAGCGCATGGTCTGGATCCTCTGCCAAGTGGCCTGCGCTTGGTCGCGCAACTCCTCCGAAGTGTCTAGGGAGTTGCGCTTCTTGTCGCAGTCCAGCTGAATTGCAATCCACAGCAACTCCGCATTGGACAGAGCATCTGAGATGATTTTGGTCAGCTTTTTATCGCTTTCGTGACGCCGAACCGCTCTTTCCAACTTCAGTTTAGTGTTCTCGTAGAGAACCAGCTCGATACGTCGCTGGGTATGCTGCTGAATATGAATGGTCAGATCATTTAAAAGCGTATCGTGCGTGTTGCTTAGCTGATAATCATTGAGCAGCTGCAGCTCGTGCATTTCACGCGACATGTCCGCCAAGCTCAGACAGTGAATCTTGCCAAGATCCAACTGGTCAATTAGAGACTGCGTGGCCTTAACCTTGGCCTTTGTTCTTATATAGGATAGTGCATAAAACTGGATGCTGTAGAACGGTCATATCAATTAAGGTGCATTGCTTATACGATAGGATCTTTGTGCTTACCCACGTTCCAAGTCCTCCAGCGTGGCCTTCTCACGCCCAAGATCTGCCTCCGCGCTCTGGAACTCATCATAGTCCTGGATCTTGAAGTTCTCCTTTACATACAGCGTAAAATATTGCATGAATGAGTCGCACTTGTGGAAATACTGCTCCAGTGGCAGTTGATGCATGAAGAGAGGCGGCAACTGTTGGGCGGTAAATGCCTTTTTGGCTTCGGCACTCAGGCGGCAATTCTCCTGCTGCAGTTCTTCCAGTTGTTTAGCTTTGGACTGGCACTCGGCTATCACATCCTTCATCCTCAGTTGAAGCTCGACGGTGGCGCATTCCACCTCGCTTAGATGGTTATTTATCGAGTTTTTTGTGGTCCTGCAAAAGTGGATTGCTATTAACTGAACAATAACCCTTATAAGGACTATAAAACCAATGACAAGAGTCTTATCCTTTACATCATATCCTCCAGAAGCGTGGCATAATCCCTCGAGGCATCTTCGATCGCCTGAATGCTCATGGTCAAGGCGTCTACATCCTGCTGCTTGTAATTGAGGAGACCCGGACTCTCGGCCTCGATCTGAAGAAGCTTGAGCTCCCGATCTTGAGCACCTAGCCACTCGTCCCGCCGCTGCATCTCCTCCCGCTCCAGAACCTGTCGCTCTGTGAGGATATTCGCATCCGTGATGTTCCCGGACAGAAACTTGAAGAACTTCTCCATCTGCTCATCGTACAGTATCCACTGGTTCGATCTGTCCACTCCAAGCTTCTTAAAAAATTCCGAGTTCTGCAATTATGGCGCTATTAATCAGAACATTGTTTAAATCGTTTTACATACGCTCAGCAGATCGCCCATCTTTAAAAAAATTGCAACACAAGCTGACTACTTATCGCTAATATCGATGAGTTCTAGAGACGTTAGTAGAGATGGTATCTTTTGAAAAATTAAAAGCATTGGCGGCTTAAAAATCAAATGAATTAGGAAATGTTAATCGTTCCGAAATCTTCGGCTTTATAATCAGAAAATTCATGAAATATTTAGTTTTCTCTATTTTTCTCTCAGTTTAAAATAATATATTTACAATGTGAAACCAAAAACAATATTATACCTTGAGAAGTTTTAATATAATAAAATTAAATAATATATTTAATGATCTGTTTAAATTCGTTGTATATGCGGATAAACGTGCACTCCACCCCTACTACAAAGAAACACCCTAGCGCCAGCTGAAACTATAGCATGCGGCCCTGGTACCGCTTTTGGACGCACTTCGCCTGGCAGTCTGGTAACCCTACACTGAATGACAAGTAAATTCTGTTCGTTTTGCAAAATAAACTTGTAAATTAGTATATTCGTTAGCAATGGTAAGTACCGGGCCCAGAAGGCCGGTGTTGGTCTGAAACTCACCATTGGGCCAATGAATATGGAAGGATAGCAATCGTGGTAGTAATCGCCTTTCGTGTAATTTCCCAGGCGCGCCGCTATGATTCCCGCACCACGATCTTCTCGCCGGAGGGCCGTTTGTACCAGGTGGAGTACGCCATGGAGGCCATCTCGCACGCCGGAACATGCCTGGGAATCCTCGCCGAGGACGGCATCCTGTTGGCCGCCGAGTGCCGCAGCACAAACAAATTGCTCGATAGCGCTATTCCTTCGGAGAAGATCTATCGCCTGAACGAGTGAGTTAAAATTCGATTATTATATCCTGTTGGATGCCTAAGATGAAGAATCCAAGGGTCGCAGGGCACATATTGAATTTACTAATTTTGATGACCCACTGCCTTTTCAATGAATGATACTATCGCTAACGAGAAGCATCTTTGTTGTCCCACAGCAACATGGTCTGCTCGGTGGCGGGCATCACCTCCGATGCCAACGTGCTGACCTCAGAACTGCGTCTGATTGCCCAGCGTTACCAGTTCAGCTACGGCGAGGTGATTCCCTGCGAGCAGCTGGTGTCGCACCTATGCGACATCAAACAGGCGTACACCCAGTACGGCGGAAAGCGTCCCTTCGGCGTCTCGCTGCTCTACATGGGGTGGGACAACAAGTACGGCTACCAGTTGTACCAGTCGGATCCCAGCGGCAACTACGGCGGATGGAAGGCCACCTGCATTGGTAACAACTTCGGTGCGGCGATCTCCATGCTGAAGCAGGAGCTGGCCGATAAGGAGAACGTGAAACTGACGCTGGCGGACGCCAAGGATCTGGCCATTAAGGTGCTCAGCATGACCCTAGACACCACCAAGCTGACCCCGGAGAAGGTCGAAATGGCCACGCTGCAGCGCGTGGACAATAAGACAGTATACAGTGTCCTGGAGAAGCCCGATGTGGAGAAGCTGATCGAGAAGTACAATAAGGTACAAGCGGAGGCCGAGGCTGCCAAAAAGGAGAAGCAAGCGAAGCAGCCGACCAAGTAATCCCAAGGATGCATAATTATTGATTAAGGGTCTATCCTGATTTTTGTAACCGATGTACGGAGTGTGTGAAATAAAATTTCAAAAAGAAAACCCACTATCATTGTCCAATAGGGATGGTCGATTAATCGATAACTGCGCCATTGCCATTCGCACCGAAGAGCTGCTAAAAATGGCCAGCGACGGGCAGTCACTAAAAAAATACCGTACAAAACATTTTGAGAAAAATTCCGTCGCTTTTTATTTGCTGTTGCTGTTATAGAAAATTCAATTATACTTGCTAAACTAACGGTTAATCGGTTTCTACGAAGGGGCTTATGCGTAATTGGAGAGTGCGCGCTAAACGCGTGGTGAAAACGGATTGGAAAACCATTTTTCATACGCAGCAAACAGGCAATGAGCGCGCGTGAGAGTGTGTGTGTGTGTGCCACAGAAAGTTGCAAGCAGCCTAGAGCTAAATAGGCGCACGGTTGTTAAATATTCACCGTGCTCTCTCGCTTTATGCAATAACAAAATCTGCAAATTCCCCCATTAGGCGCAAAAATGTGAAAAAAAAAGGGGGGCAAAAAACCAATGGGAATTTCTCAATGTTGTGTCAATACAGTGAGAGCGACGTACGAAAAGTCAAAAGCAAAGGAGAGGAGAATGGAATAACACAAAAAAAGAGCTGAGCCACAGCAAAGAAGCAAGAAGAAACGCGAAGCAGGCTCTAAAAGAAAAATCGAAATAATAAAAAAAAAACACGCACGCATGTGTTGGTGTGTGTGAGCGAGTGAGATTCTGTGCGCGTGTAAGTGCAAATGTGTGTGTGAGAGAGTGAAACGTATAAATAAAATTCAGCCAAATGCAGAAGCCAACAACAAAATGGATAACAAAACTACACAGTTGGATTTTAAATTACTGGTAATTAAATAATGTTTACCATTACCCCATCCCGTCCCACTTTTTCCACTATTCCAATATCACTTACACATACAGCAGCTGCTGTTTGGAAGTGTCTGTGCAGTCTACATTCCGTGTGACTGCGACTGTCTAATTGAGAGAGCAGCAAAACAACGTGTAATGCGTAGGGAAGGAAGAGAGCGGCAGAGAGAAAGACAAAAAGAGAGAGAGAGAGAGCTTGATAGAAGAGGAGGAGGTGGAGGACAGATAACAAATGAAGTACAGTGTGCACTGGTCGCATTTATTATTGTTGTTTTCGTTGTATATTTAGCTGCTGTTCTTGTTGTGGCTGTGCTTCTTGTTGCTGTAATGTGAAAAGGTCGTTGCGATTAAAATTAATCCGAATTTAGTTTTGCTCCTGCCTCGCCATTCAAATCGCGCTCAGCTCTCCAATTGGAAAAGCGAAGCACCTGAAGTAAACAAAGAGACGCAGCTAATGAGTTTGAGCGGGAATTTGCGGCACAACTGCCTAAATCAAAGCCGTGATATTTTTTCGACCAGTGTAGCTAGCTTTAGATGAAGGGTGGTTCACAAAAATCCCCCCTATTTCTGTTTGCTTTATTATTTTAAAAGCTCCGTTGATTTAGAGCCCCCACAATCGCTTCTTGCACAATTTCCACCCACCCACAATAACACACACACCCGTACATAAATACTGTGTGTGTGTGTGGGTTTGTGTGAACTTCCGCCGAGTCTTTTGCTCCATCCCGCCCCACCTCCTCTAGCGCCGCCCACGCCCACTATCCCTATTCAAAGGCAAACCCATACCACTCCCATTTCCATTTGCCTCCTCCTTCTCCTCGTTTTCTTCCTCCCCCTTTCTTTTCCCCTTTCGTTGAGTGCCACATAATGTTATTTTTGTTTTTTCTATTTGCCTCTAAAATGAATTGTAGTCCCCCCACACCCTGCCTCTTTCTTTTCCTTCGCTTTGCTACTCCCCACTCTTCGACCCATTTCATCACTGCTATTATTCACTTTTGTTTTGTTTTCCTTCGTTATATTCGAGAAAATATTTATTTTTACTTTTATTAGTTTATAACAACATTTACATTTACTTTGGCCACACAAGCAAAGCACATTTACATAAATACAAATACTACAAATACTATAAAATCCAAAATTTGATTGTATTTCTCGCTCTCCCTCCTGCTTTCTATGTGTGTGTGTGTGTTGTTGTTTGTGGGGCGAAGTGGAGAGAGTGGTAGTTGGTCGGTCATGAGGAGGGGGAGTGAATGGGGAGTTCTCTTTTCCTCATGCATGCATATAAATTCGAGGCATTTCAGATGCAGGCGCGAGCGAGACGGCGAATCGAGTACGAATGTACGAAGCAAAGCACAAGTGGAAGAAGAAGAATAGTAAACAGCACCGCACAGTGGAGCAAGCATTTAATTGCAATTAAGCGGGAAGAAAGTGGTCAATGGCATTCAAATTTACCGATTTAAATGAACTCATTCGTAGAGAATAGCTAAAACTAAACATTTCACTGAACACAATTGAGGCTATTTAAAATAGTCATTTCGTCTGCACTGAAATCACTCTTTGTGCTCTTTAATTAATTTCTTTGTGCAGTAATACAATTAAAGTTTTTATCGCTCTTAATTGAGTTTACGACATGGATTGAGTGCCTTTCGTTTTCCCATCCCTTCCGCATGGACTCGAATTGATTGCAGTGTGTTTTGCTGTGCCAATTTCATTAATAAAACTCTGAAAAAAGGAATAGAAAGAGAGGGCGATGTAAATGCTATTTTTATTTGATTAGTACAACTATTTGGACGTACGTACACATGTATGTAGAACCATATGTACATGTGCATGAGTTCCACTTTGAGAGCTTCGGTGTGAGTGTGTGTGTGTGGGTGAGAGGGAGATGGCAAGCACTAAATGTATAACATAAATTTTGCTAAAAATGCAGCCAACGTCATTCCCCCGCCCACCTGCCCCCTATAACGGTTCACCCATCCGAGCACCATAAGTACGTGTTAGTGTAGATGTGCTCACGTGTGCATACATAAGTATTTCGAAGATAGCTCTTTGGGTCTTTATGTGAGCAATGAACAGGTACATAACAATTGCAAACGAACTAAATATTTCTGGGCAGCAACAAAAGCTGAATACATCGAGAAGGAAGCATGTTCATTTTATCGAATAGCCCACACCCTGCAAGGGATATCTCCAAACAAAAAACAAAAAAAAAAAAAACGATCCAGACAAAATATCTACCACTCGGTTATTTTTAGTTCTCATAAACACATGCACACAGATGCGAGCATAGAGCACACAAATACACCCGCACACACTCGTATACCAACTAACATTTAATTAGAACACAAAAAATTCTAATTAAATATGGCATTTGCTTTACTCTTGCATTGCGCGATCACAAGCTCTCTTTCTCTTTCTGCCCAACTTTCGGTCTCTCTCCCTAGCTCCGCTTGCCCCACTGAGAAGACAAACGAATTAAGTTTATAATAAAAGTTTAGACATGCTTACATGCACATGTGCGCGTGGTTGTGTTTGTTAGTTTGTGTTATCTGCAATCTAAATTTACAGCAACTTTATTGACAACTAAAACGCACAGCCCAGCGTTGCCACATAGATAAAGTGGGGAAAATAAATTGTTAAACTTTAGCACAGTCAGAAATCTTTTGTCCAAGAACTACCGTTTTGTTTCCATTAAAACTTGATTGATTAAAAGCGGTTTGACTGAGAGAAAGTAACGTTGCATATACACTGCTATAAAGGCCATGTAGACTAAATCTAAATAAATCCACATAAATCCAAAATTTATTTTATAGCTCAATAAATACACGATAAATAATATAAATCAATGTTATGAACAACTGTTATGTGAAACAATGAGCTTTTGTAATAATATCTATCAGCAATCGTTTACTATCTAGCAAAAACAACTTGTGAAGTTTTGTCACAAGTGTTTGTGTACGAACTATGTATGTACATATTTGATATATGATATGAGACAAATAAATAACACCGAAATATGTGTGTTTTGGCCAGCCGAAGCACAAATACACTTCCATTAATGTCTCTATTTGATTCTATAAAAAATTATTTTAAGGTTCGTATACTTTATAGACTTTTGGAATTAAGGTTCCAAGGTACTGCCCTCCCGAAATAAATCAGTGTGATTGGTAGTGTATTTGAAGGGTTGCGTCTTCGTTTACTTTTAGTCCCCTCCTACTCCAACCCCTTTCGCCACCCACTTCGGCTCCTCTCCACTGTTGCCCTCTCCCTCTCGCACAGTGGGTGGATGGGTTGCTGAGGAGAGCGGGCGGAGAGCAGCCCCACATTGTGTTTGTAACAACTACAAATCGCTGCAAATACACAGGCACACAAACGGCGTACATACATACATAATAGCAACATTGTGGAATGGGGAAAAGTAGCACAAATTGTGCGCTGTTTTAATTTCTGTGCTTCTTCTTCGGCCTCCGCTATTGCTGTTGGTTTTGCTTTTGCTGTTTTTGTTTTTCTTTACTATTTTTCGCCATCTTCGCTCGCTCTTGTTTCTCTGTGTCTCGCTGTGTTAGTGCTAATCGCTTGCGCGGGCAGCGCAGTTGGCGTCGCTGTCGCCGTGCTGTCTACGTTTCATTGAAGCGCGCGCGCTCTCTCTTACTTCACCTCCCGCCGCCTTCCCCTCTTCCACTCTAATTGCATTAAATTGTTTGGAAAATAATAATCAGTAATTGCGTTTGACGACAGTTATTTCCATCAGCGTGCGCTCTGCGAGAGAGTTTTTCCGTTTAATTGAAACAAATGAAGATTCTAATTGGGTCTTTAGCGGAACTAACAAATCTCCCGTACTAAGGTGGCAACCCTGCCGCAACCCAGTCCCTCCCACCCACCGCATTCCGTACTTTGTTGTTTTCTCCGTGGAAATGGAAATGGGCGGCTTGAAGCGGAAGTTGGTAATTTATTTTCCACTAGCGCAATAATTTAGGCACCGTGGGCTTAAAGCGGCCATTTGAGATTTATAAATTACAAGAAGCAAGCAAGCAAAAATGTTTAATAATACTCACCACCATTCACATAAGTTCTTGAATTGCATATCGCATTTCTCACGTCACCTATTATCTTCCAGGTGGATCAATCACTAAATCTACTGGACAGCCTCAACACGGCATTGCGGTGCGATGCTATTCAATTCTTGCTGCAGACGCTTAAGTGCAAGTACCCGGAGGCCTGCGACCAAGTCGTCAGGAATCTGTTCAGTCACATAGCTGCGGCCAATGACAATGTGGGGGCAGGAGGAAGGGCGCAGCAACACGAGCTAGCGAGGACGAAGCAGCTCCAGCTGCTGCTGACCGCTAAGAAGGAGAAGAAAGAACCGGGAATCGGTTGCGAGGCGGAGATCAAGCGAGAGAACGATGAGGAGGAGGCGGGTTCAACGGATCTGAACCAGAATTTCGAGAAGATCCCCTGCAAAGAGGAGTTTATGTGCCTCGAGGAGGAGGAGGAGGACTTTCTCGACGATGCAGACACGCAGAACTCGTCTTCCCTGCAGTTCCACACCGGCAACAATGTGGACGCCCTGGCCCTGGGCCCTGGCGATCCGCTGGAGCTGATCCAGTCCGGAGTTTCGCTGCTGGTCAAGCGGAAGTATGCTGCCACCTTCGAGGACGAGGACCAGCTGGACGGGGATGAGGAGGCCAACAGCAATAGCAGTGACGGCAAGCTGGTCAAGCGAAAGCGCACCAACAACATGCACCTGACCGTGTCGAGTGTGCGTCGGAAAGAGGAGCACGGCCAGTTGGGCGATGGCTACGTCTTCCACGAAGACAGCCAGTATACGATGCGGTATCACCACAGCACCGGCGAGTTCAGCGAGCGGGCCTTTAAGGCCCAGTTCCGGGCTCTGCTCCGCCTGGCGCTCAGTCAGCACCACAAGCCGTTTCTCCGGCAGTTCTACGAGAACTTTGTTGTGAATGGACGCTTGCTGGGGACCACGCCCTCGATGCGGGTCCTGAAGGAGCTGCGCGAGCAGCGGCTGGAGGAGTGGCGCCGTCAGCGGGAACGCCGCCAGCTTGTAATCCTAATGGAGCAGAGCGAGATTCAGTGCGAAGAAGAGTGTCAGCGACAGCAGGAGGAGCTGCAGAATCAGGAGGAAATCCAGCAGGAGCAGGAACAGCAGCAACAGCTGGAGGATATTCAGCAGCAGCAGCACATGGAGGAGATTCAGCGGCAGCAGCAACTGCCGGCCATCTCGTTTGGTGACTCTGAATTGGAGTCGGAAACGGAATCGCAGCTGTCGTCGGCTGCCCAAGAGATTATGAAGTTCGAGGAGTTCATTGACGAGGGTGTAGGCGCTGGGCGTCTGATCGATGGTCTGGAGATGGAACCCGAGATCGATGACATGCTAGCTGGCGCTGGCAGTATGAACAGTGCCAGTGGACATAGCAGCAACAGTAGCAGCAGCGGAAGTGGGAGCGCCGGTAATGGGAATGGCATCAGCGGGGTGATCCTGGAGAACAATAGTCATCATTCGCATCACCTGTAAGTACAGTTTTAATGTTATTTTATCTATAAATATTAAACTTGTAGAGTTACTAATTACCTTTTTTTTGCTTGCAGAAGTAGCAGCAGCAGCGCAAATCTTGTGATCAACGGCCTTACGTCAAGCAATAGCATCAGCAACAATAATAATAACAACAACAATGTCAGTCTACACCGCCCTCAACTGACGCCACAGGCGCAGAATCAGTTGGCCGCGTCGATGAAACCATCAGACCATATGCCCATTTCCATGCCCATGGAGAACAGGGATTTAAAGGCCGGGCAAGCGGCTCATGGGACTCCCAACGCCATCATGCAGGGCAGTAGTTCGAGCCTCGCCAGCCAACTTCATCAGCAACAAAAACATTACAACTCGAGCAATAATCCCCTGTCCATGATGGGTGGCATGATGCAGCAGCAGCAGCATGTGGGTATGCCGCACCAGCAGCGCCAGATGATGATGATGCCGGAGGATTTCCCGCAGCACGGAGCCTCAATGATGAACAGTCGTCAAATGCCTGCCCTGGCCGCCTTGTCGAATCTGGGCGATCCACCTGCTGTGAGTGGCCAGCTTAACTCCTCCCTTGAGCTGGACGACAATGACCTGTCGGCGGATGAGGACGATGACGATCTGGACCACGACCTGGACGATATGGACGCGGCCAAGCAACAGCTAATAGATGGCGGCAGCAGTAGCAGCACATCTCTTCAGGCACCACCTTCGCAGCACGGCAGCGGAAGTGGAGGCAGCGGTGGCCAGACGCCCGGTAGCAAAAAGGACAAGCCCAGCTACAACTGTCTGCTCTGTCCCAAGTCCTATCGCAAGCGCAAGTCCCTGCTGGACCATTACAAAATGCATCCGGGCTACTGCCACGACTGCGGTCAGCGCAACGGGAACACGCTGGAGGTAACTTGCCATATTACAAGGCAGAAAATGGTGGATGAATACTAAGAGTCTTCAATTTATTTCTAGGAAATAATCCACCACAACCGGACCATGCATGTAAAGGAGTTTCCGTTTGTGTGCGAAACGTGCGGAGAGTCGTACTCCCGCAAACAGCAGTTCCACGCCCACGTGGAGTCGCACAATAAGAAGGAAATCAAAAGTGAGTCGACGTGAATGTAAATTTCACCAAGTTCTCGGGTGGAATGAGCATCAGCTCAGTCTACAGTCTATTTATTGGCGATCTAACCTGTGTTTCATTTGCAGCCTTTCCCTGCGGAGAGTGCGGTCTTAAGTTTCCGCAAAAGAAACTGCAGCAACACTTCGAGGAGACGGGCCACAAGGCGGACGGGGCTATCTGCGAGGTGTGCGGCGAGGAGTTCCAGTCGAAGAATGCCCTGTACCAGCACATTATTCGTGTGCACAAGCGCGACAACTTCTTCGAGTGCCACATTTGCCATAACCGCTTCACGCTGAAAGCCAACCTGGAGCGGCACGTCCAGCTGCACACCGAGATCAAGCGGCCCTACGTGTGCGATCTGTGCGGCTCTTCCTACTTCACATATCCCGCGCTCAAGGAGCACTACAGCAACGCCCACGTTGACGTGTCCGAGTGCAAATGCACGCTGTGCGGCAAGCGCTTCGGATCGGCCAAGTCCCTGCAGCGGCACCTGCCCTCGCACTCGGAGGAAAGGCCGCACTGCTGCAACTATTGCGATCAGGTGAGTCTAAAAGAACCACTTAGCTTGACCAACATAATAATTTATCCTGACCTTTGCAGACCTTCAAATGGAAAACGCACCTGGTGCGCCACAAGCAGACAACGCACGGAAACGAGCCACCTCCTCCTAAGAAGGGAAAGCAGCGCTTTCCCAAAGCAAGCGAAGAAGGTGAGATTGCTCAGGGCTTTACATACAATCTAAAACCATGTTTAACTCTTCTCCTGTCCAGCAGATATGGCTAGCTTACCGGACATGCCGGGGCCACCGCCCGTGAAGGCTAGTAAAAAGGCAGTAACCAGCAAGGCAAAAGCGCAGGCAGCAGCCGCCGCCGCAGCAGCAGCAGCAGCATCTTCCCAGCAACAACAACAGAAGGGCTCCGCAGCAACGCCGACGCCGCCACCGCCGGTATCTACTACTCCGGGATGCCTGCAACAGGATCAATTCAATGCGGCCATGGTTAGCAGCAACAGCTCGCAGTCCTCCACGGCGTCCACGTCACAACACTCGGTGTCGACGAGTGAATCTCAGCAGAATTCCATATACAATCAGAGCTTTAATGCGGAGAAACAGCAGCCAGGACAGCAGCAGCCCCAAAATGCCTTGCACCAGCAACATCCAACGCCGCCACCGCAGCAGCAACAACAGCAGCAGCAGGCGCCGCCACAGTCACGAGTTGCACCCGGAGAACTGCATCTGCAACGGATGAATAGCTTCGGGCAGGATGGACAATTTCACTTTGAGTCTAATCCGGCAGCTGGTGCCTATCAGCAGCATCAACTGATCAGCCAGTATCAGCAACAGCAGCAGCAGCAACAGCAACAGCAGCAGCCCCAGCAGCAACAACATCATCTCGCCCAACAACAGCAGCACATGAGGAGTCACACGCCCCAGAGTCCACATCCGCCGCATCCTTCGCAGCTGCAACAACAGCAGCCCCAACAGCACTTTAGCTCCCCTCACCACATGCCGCCAATGCATCATCAACACCAGCTGATGATGCAACAGCAACATCGCCACAATCAGCGCTCGCCGCTTCACCATCATCCTGCAGCCCAGCAAATTCAACAGCAGCACCAGCAACCATCGCATTCCCCACAGCATCAGCATGCGAGATTGCAGTCGCCCCAACCTGCTCCAGTACAACAACAACAGCAGCAGCAACAACAACAGCAGCAGCAGCAGTTTCTGCAGCAACAGGCTACCGACTCCTGGGGTAACATGAACTTTGGGAATCCGCCGAACAATCAGCAGGTTGAGCTCAAGGACAACAAATTTTATATTGTGGAATCGGCCGAGTTCCTAGGTCTTCCAATGAATGTGCCGCCATCTCCGCAGCAGCAGCAACAAGCAGTAAGCAAGCCCCAGCAGCAGCAGCAACACCCACAACCGCAGCAACCAGATCCAACCCTTGCTGGTGATCTGATGAGCTTCCAGCATATGTGGCCGGCGCCTGGTTTTAGCCAGTCTTCACAGCAGCAACAACCACAACAACAACAGCAGCAGCAGCAAGCGGCGCAGCAGCAACAACAACAGCAGCAGCAACAGGCCCAAGGCCAGGCAAACTCAAGTGATCCCCACAACTACAATAACATCGGCAGCATACTAACGAATCTCATTGACACAAATCCCGCGCCAATGGAGTACAACTTCGACTTGATGCAGCAGCAACAAACGCCGTCAGCCCAGCAGCAGCAACAGCAGGCGGCGCAGCAGCAACATCACAGTGCCGGAGGATATGGGAGCGGTTTGATGCGCAGTGGAGGCGGCGTTTACGGAGGAGCCTACGACCAGCACTTGAGTGATCAACTGGTTAGCGAGCAGCAGAAACAAAACAGCTTTCAACCCTACCACCCACATGGCCTGCAGCCGCAACAACAGCAGCCACTGCATCCGCACCTGTTACCCCCGCCAGCGCCCCATAGCAATGTGTACGATCGCACGGGAGTTGGAGTTGGTGTCGGTGTCGGAGTGGGCGTAGGCGTGGGCGTGGGCTATCCGATGCTGGGAGACGATACCAAGGGCGTGCTGCCGCCCATGATGGGTGGCATGATGCAGCAAATGCCGCCGCATGGGCAGCAACCGGATCTAATCTACTACCCAGTGAAGAACGATTGACAGTCGAAGCAAAATCAGCAGCCAGCCCAGCAGCCGAATCACCTTCACCACCATCGCTGGTGGACGGAGCCAGCCAAGAGAGGCGATGTTTTTCATTGAAGAAACAACCGAAAACAGGAAACGGAATACGGAACAAGTTCGCTTAGATTGTAAGTTAAGGGGGGACGGGACGGTGGATGTGTGGAAGTGTGGAACGCGAGGAGTTGTAGATAGGGCAGTCCACACATTGTTTTTGAAATTAAGAGCAATAATATAAAGATTAGAGCGGAAAGAGCTCAGAATATCTAATCCGACCGGCGCTATGATACGTGTATAAAAGTAATCATTTACAAAATACATCAAATAAACAGAAGCATGTATACATAATTAAATTCAGACATATACATAGTAGCACCTAAGCGAGGCGAGAGCAAGAGTTAAATTAAAAACTATAAATAATAAATATATATATAAATTATATGAAGCATATATATTAGGCTAAGCAACTACAATAATGGCAGACCACAACCACAAGCAACTTTCGAACAAATCTTATGCTTATTTACCATTTACCATACGAGTTATGAATGCAACGCCCCACAAACACGCGTGCGTTTATGTATAATCAAATCAAAACAATCCAACATTATATCCGTACACATGATATCTATGTAAACCTCGGGAGACCCCTAAGTTGTAGATGATTGATTTTATTCGGGTCATGCATCACAAACGGAGACGATACAAAACAAAAGTACACGACGCTTTGACCACACAAAGTTGTAACCATATCATGAGGCATCTTCCCCGTATAATTATGTAATTGTATTTTCGATAGTGCTTGTTATTTTCTATTTAGTTAACGAATTGATTATACTTACGAAGCCTTTCTGCTGATTACCGCCAGCCACACTTTTGTTAGATTAGTGCCTAAGTCTAGTTGATATCCCAATGTATACCCCGACATTTTGTGGCTTTTTACACCCAAACCTTGTATAGCTACTCTATAGCATTTCCGATTTTTTTGAAGCTCCCCTATTCTACATCTACATCCGGTTTATTCAATATTTCTCTTCGATGAATTTCCTTATATTCATGACAGGCCCCGAAAACATTTAAGTTAATCACAGCGTTGTTCTTGTTTTACACATTATTAAAATTCAGCAACATAAGAATTGTATATTTAAGTGAAAGTTTAAAACGTTAACTGTGTAAGCATACTTTTATGAACAAAACAAAAGCAACAAAAAAAAAAAAACAGAACAAAAATGAAAAATGAAATCAACAAACTTCACTAAGATTAGGTTTGTATTCTGGATACAAAAAAAGAAGCAAAATGGCAATTAAAAGAAAGAACACAATATAAATAAAATTTGTATATTTAATAAAAATAGCAAAATAAAAATAAACTTCTTTTAAAAAATTTACAAAAACCATCTTTGTCCTGCCCATCTTTCACATTTTTAGTTTATTTAACAAACACCCAACGCGTGACATTAGTTAACACCTCCCATCAAATTAACCACCCGGTTCTTATAGCGCTTGGATATATCCTTCTCGATGTGCGACTGCAGAGTGCGAGTCTGGGCAATCAGCTCCTCCAGGACGGGATTCAGCTCCTGCCGCTGTTCCCGCAGCTCGATGGTCCTCGTCTTGAGCGCCTCCCGCGTGGCTCGCAACTTCTCCACGGCCTTCGTCATCTGCTGCAGCTTGGTGGCCAGCAGATTGGCATACTTGGGGGAGTGCTTCAGCTGGAAGAGGTGTCGCGTCTGCTCGTCGGCAGTCTGCTGGATTATTTTCTCCACGGATGCGAGTATTTTCCTGATGCTCTCCCCATCGTGGGTGGCAATGTTGTCCATTAGCGAGAACATGATGTCGCTGGAGGATTCCAACTGCTTGAGCTCATAGATACGCATGCGCAGGAAGGACTCCAGTTCGTAGATTTCGTCCAGGAAGCGATCGCGATAGTTGGGTGAGTCCAGCAAAGTGTAGGCCTGATCACCTGCAACAAGAAACCATTAACCATTAACCACTTCAAATCGAATGTAATATGGCACTCACCCTTGGCGGTGCCGCCATCCATGCCAGTGCCTTCCACCACGATTCCGTACTCCTCGACGGGAATGTCAAAGTTGATTTCGACGGCATCGGTGGGAGCACTTTCTATGCCCCAGTCGATGTTGCCGCCGTCGTTTTCCGCCAAGTCCCCGTAGTCGATAATCTCACCCGAAACGGTCGACGAAGTTCCGCCGTTGTCGTCCGTTCCGAAGTCAATCTCAGCAACAGCATTGTCATCCTTGCTGGCGATGCCTTCGCTGAGGTTTAGCCGAATGGGTGGCTCCTCAACGGCCAAGGGTGCTTCCTTGTGGATGTACTGGTAGACGGTGGTGTTGCCGAACTCCACCAGGTGGTTCAGGATGGGCAGCGCCTGCTTGTTGCCGCTGACCTCGGCGTACAGGTCGATGCCCGGCTGAATCTTGGCAATGTCTGCCAGGGATTTGGCGTATAGGTCCGGCAGACCAGCTAGGACCTGGACGAACTCGGCATGCAGATTGTCGCCCTTGACGCCCAGTTGCTCCAGCAGAGCCGAGTGCTCGGCCAGGAGTTGGGTCTCCGGCTTGTTCAGATCGTGGGCCCGCTTCTGGCTCTCGTCCGCCTGCTGCTCCAGCTTGGCCATCTGCTTGCGCACTCCGGGAATCTCGTAGTTCACATTGCGCACGAAGATCTGAGCCGTTTCGGCCAGGTAGGTGGCATTCTTTTCGTACAGGCGGCTAATCTCCTGCCAGTCCTTCATGCGCTGGCTGCCGTAGGTGCCGAACACGCTTTTCGTGTCCTTTTCCGTCTTCTTGAGGATCTCAATGATCTCCTTCACATGGTAGTAGTTGATGTCTGCAAGGAGTGGGACACATTAGTGGGCCTGCCTTTGGGGCACGGGTCACTGGGCACCTACTTGTCCGGGCCAATAGCTTAATAAGCTGCTCATTGGAGGGCATGTCCTGCAAGGCGCTGCTGATCTTCTTGTGGATCTCCCTAGTCTCCTGCTGGACATTCTTGGGCACAATCCTCCGACTGATCAGCCAGTCCTGCAGCTTCAGCGTGTGTATGTCGATGGGGATCTCGGACTCCTGTAGGGCACCATCAAATATTGTGCTGGTGAGCGAAACACTCGCAAGGTTTTTGTTAATTGTATGCTTACATTCATTTTTAATCAATGTTTGTCCACGCAGACTGTTTTTTATTATTGTTGCTGCTGAGAGTGTGACCAGGCTGTCGTTACACACTTAGCGGGTACCACAACCAGCACAAAGAGTTCCAATTGGGAAATTTCAGACTTTCACACTGCGACTGTTGTAAATTTTAATCGCGGTTTTCAAAACTTTTTGAATATCTGAATGTAGGTAGCTTAATTTCAAAAAGTTGGCAAAAAGGAATGGGTGAAGAACCCAACAAAATATGAAAGCGAAAAGTGCGGACTTTCAAATAATTCCTATTATATATATATTTTGTTTTCAAACAAAAGTCAATCAAAAACTAAGCAATGCTTCCGCAAATCGATTTCCTTAAGCGTTCCCGGGCCTAACCCGAATAGTCATTGGCAATAGCTGCGGCATCGGCATCGTCCCTGAACATCTGGGCCACTTGGGCACTGGGCAGGACCTTCTGGGAGCTTCCGGTCTTGGTCTTTCGCCATATGTCCCACTCCACCGGATGCATTTTCTTCTTGTGGGAGTGCATGTTGGCGTTCGAGTTGAAGGTGCGGGGACAGAAGGGACACTTGTAGAGTGGCTCGCCGGTGTGCTGTGCCATATGCTCCTGAAAGCACCAATCACTTTGATAAAAATATAAATGTATGAGGGTGATATCTAATATCGAACCTTAAGGCTGATGTCCTTCTTGAAGGTTTTGCCACATTGCTCGCAGGTGTAGATCACATTCGAGTGGGAGTAACGCTTGTGACCGATCAGCGCACGGGAGTTCTTGCAGCTCTTGCCACACTCTGAGCATATAAATTGTTTGCCCTCGTCGTTGTGGCGCCTCAAATGCTGCTTGAGATTGTCCTCGTCCTTCAGCCAGCTCTCGCAGTCCGGACGCGGGCACTTGATGCGTGGTCCACTCTCCTCGAAGTGCAGGCGAACGTGCTTCTCGAAGACGGCCTTGTCCTTGATCTTCTTGCCGCACACATGACAGATATTTGCCGCCTTGCGATGCTGCATGCTGATGTGGACCTGCATGTGGTACTCCGTGGCAAAACTGTGGTACGAAAGGATAGCGGTTAGCATTGGAAACACTGCCGCTTAAGTGGCGACGCTCACGCATTGTGTTTGGGGCACTGCGGACAGATGAACTTGCGCTCGTTGATGGGCACATGGGAGCCCTTGTGCAGCTCTAGCAGGTTACGCCGCGAGAAGCGTTTACCGCAGTCCTCGCACTGGAAGTCGCACTCCTCATCTGGAACATGGTGGACCAGCCAGTGGGCACGCAGTACGCTAGAATTGGCGAACACCTTTCCGCAGTCCTTGCATCTGTTTGAAAGAAAGGTGATTAGTAAACCGCTTTAGACTGGGTTTAGTAAGAGAGACCCACTTGATGTATTCGGGATTCTCATGCCTCCTCGCATGCTCCTGGATGAGGCAGCGCTTGTTGAGCTTTCGTCCGCAGCACTTGATGTATGGCCTCTCGTCCGGGTGCTTCTCCTTGAAGTGCTCGCGTATGCCGTCAAAGTCCTCGGCCAGGAATATGCACAGCTCGCAGCCCATGACTATGTAGCGCTTGATTAGTTCCTCGTCTTCTTTGCAGAACGGTGGCAGGCGTTCCATCTTGAATATCCTCTTGGGCGGACCCCGCTTGGCCACCATCTTATCCTTCCCTTTCCTGCCCACCGCTACCGATCCTCTTTTCGTTTTGGCCGGCTTGGCCACCTCCCGCTTACGTTTGCGTCCACTACGGGTCACGATCAGATCGTCGGGGTCATCATCATCGTCCTCCTCGTAGTCCTCATCCTGTTCATTGTTGGTATCCTCCATGATGAATTCCATGTCGGGTGACTGCCGCTCGGTTTTGATGCCAACCTTGCTGTCTTCCGGTGACATGGGCTGGCTCAGGTCTAACTCGTCGAGCGGATTCACATTCAGCTGCGCACTGACATCGTTGTCCACAGCCAGAACGTCGGCCGGCATGAGCACCTCCTCCGGCCAGGAGGTGTTCACCATTTCCGGATCCTGCTTGAACTTTGAGGTGGTGGCGTATATCACCTGGGCCTCCTGTATGGACACGTAGAACTGATGGAACTCGGACACCTGCGTCCAGCAGACGTTGCAGATAACCTTGGATATCTCGTCGTTGGGCAGTACCTGGATGCGTGTAGGAGATGAGATGGTGGTAAAAAAAGATTCCCAGGCACAAAAGTGGGTGGAGGGCAGCAGCTTACCTCGAACCAGAAATGCTGGCGCAGCACCTCCGCCACCTTGCTTTCGCCCGAGTCCACATCGAAGATCTGTAGACACATCTGGGCGCCGCTCACTCCGCGCAAACAGAGGCGGCAGATATCCATTTTGCATTTATTTGATAAAACTATAATAAAAAGTAGTAATTTACATAGCTCTGTCGATAACTCCCATCGCAACTATCGGCTGCATCGTGATTTTTTCCCGGCAAACGGCCATACTGTGGACTGGTTGTTCTACGCTGGTCACACTGACCATTGCAGATTTCCTTATTTTCGTATTTGCTAAAAATGTTGATATAGTCTGAAAAAAATGAGCAAACAGGGGAATAAAAGCAAGGATGCGGCAGCGTCATCTGCCACTTTAAAAGTAAAGGTGTCCCGAGTAGCCGGAACAACGAGTTTAACATCTATTGGTCTTCTTTCCAGCGGATAAGCGAAAAGAAATTGGAGGCCTTTACGGTGGGCACCTTCTCAAAACGTCAACTGTCCAAAAAAGAGCTCGAAGACCAGAAGAAAAAGGAGGATGCTGCTGCTGCGGCACATGTAGGTGACTCCAGCTATAGCTTCCACCTCTCACTATAACCGAATGCGTTTTTTAGGCCTTCAAAGAGTTCGTAGAGACCTTCCAAGACGCACCCACCCCCTCCTCCAAAGTTTGGGTCAAAGCCGGTACCTATGATGCAGGATCCCGGCGGGAGGATAAGTCGGAGAAGGGCAAGCTATACAAGCCGGTTTCGAAGCTGCTGGACAAGAGCTCCGCCGACAAGATCGAGGATTACGCCAAGACCCTGGCCTCGGATCTCAAAAAGGACTCGGGTCCAGTGAAAAAGAAAAACCAGGAGAAGAAAAAGAGCAACTTGGAGCTGTTCAAGGAGGAGTTGAGACAGTAGGCACAGTTAGTAGTGCATGTGTATATTCCACACTAATTGATTCATGATTACAGGATTCAAGAGGAGCGCGAGGAACGCCACAAGTACAAGCACATGGCCGCAAGCCATTCCGCACCAGCCCAGCAACCTGCTGCATCAGCTGCTACTGTGCCCAGCAGTAGTGCATCCACAACCTCCCAGGCTTCAAACAGCTCTAAGGAGTCTGGATCGTTTGACACGGGCGATCCAAATACCACAAACCTTTACTTGGGCAACCTAAACCCCAAGATATCCGAGCAGCAGCTCATGGAAATTTTTGGGCGCTACGGTCCATTGGCCAGTATCAAGATTATGTGGCCCCGCTCCGAGGAAGAGAAACAAAGGGGCCGAAACTGCGGTTTTGTAGCCTACATGAGCCGCAAGGATGCGGAAAGGGCCCTGAGGACACTAAACGGGCGCTACATCATGGGCTACGAAATGCGTCTAGGCTGGGGTAATCTATAGATCTCATTTCGCATTATGTATAAATACTATCACCATTTAATAATTATATTAGGAAAGACTGTGCCCATAATGAATACGCCCATTTTTGCGCCGCAAGCCTTGCTGGAGATGACTCTGCCTCCGCCTCCATCAGGATTGCCATTTAATGCTCAACCACCACCCAGTGAAGCAGATGTTTTGCCCAAGAAAAACTACAAGGAGTTCAACCAAGAAGAGGACAAAGAGAACCTGGAGCGGGTAAGTAAAATTTGCTAGCTCTTCAAGAAATACAAATAAAAATGTTGAATTTTATAGATACTTGCCAAGTGCGTCGTTAAAGTCCATGTACCCACAGAGAAGTATGAAGTGCACCAAGAACATTAACTTTATAAGAACTTACGTGGCTGTGCGCTTTTTGCAGGGCTATTCTTAATGTTATTCATCGGATGATCGAGTTTGTTATACGCGAAGGGCCGATGTTTGAGGCACTGATCATGATTCGGGAAATGGAGAATCCGCTCTTCTCGTTCCTTTTTGACAACGAGAGTCCTGCCCACATCTACTACCGTTGGAAGCTGTTCTCTTTGCTACAGGGCGATACGCCCAATGAATGGCGGGAGGATGAATTTCGAATGTTCAAAAACGGACCGGTTTGGAAGCCTCCGATTGCCAACTTCTATACTCAAGGCATGCCAGATGAGCTAGTTGTTGATCCTGATGCTCCTGTGGTTCACAAGGGAGCCTTGTCCAATGCGTACGTTTAGCACAGATAATCCTCGGAACATGAATTTTTAATATCTATACTAAAACAGGCAACGCAATCGACTCGAGGATTTGATTAGGCATTTGACTCCAGAACGCGCTCGCATTGGGGATGCCATGATCTTCTGCATTGAGCACGCAGATGCGGCTGATGAAATCTGCGAGTGCATCGCCGAGTCCCTGTCCAATATAAATACATTGGCTTCAAAGAAGATAGCCCGACTTTATCTGATATCAGATATACTGCACAACTGCACTGTTAAAGTGGCCAATGCTTCGTTCTTCCGTAAATCGTATGTATAAAAGTTCATCAAAGTATAATCGTTGAAGTGACACCTATCACTTATTATTATTTAGTGTGGAAAAACAACTGTTGGACATCTTTGAAAACCTGCATAACTTCTGCATGAACATAGAAAGTAGATTGAAAGCTGAGGGTTTTAAATCCAGAGTCTGCAATGTAATTCGCGCGTGGGAGGAGTGGACAATATACCCCAAGGACTTTATGGCAGAGCTGACGGCCAAATTCTTAGGCAAACCTGTTAGTTAATTACATTTATTATAAATTATGCATATAGTCTAATGGAATCTTGTGTTTAGTACGTCAAGCCAGTCAATACGTCCCCTCAAGCCGAGGAAACTCGATCTGATGAGGCTCTGGACGAAGATATCGACGGCGCCCCTCTTTCCGGAGAGGAAAAGGACGACGAGGATCTAGACGGAGTGCCAT